AACCCCCAGAAAGCAACAAAAACGCCTAGAGCACTTCAGTTGTAAGTTGACAAATATTTTATGTAGGAACACCAAGTCAAGAAAAGTGAGGGAGGGATAGAAAAGAGGATGAGACGTGGGGAGAGCAATAATTATGTACAAGCATATTTCTACACGTATATTACAGACCAGGAGAATGATCGCATTATTTGAGATATACATAATTCAATATAAAATTTTGAAAATAAAAATAAAAATCTGATACAGTCATAAACGATTCCGTTCGACATTTTTGACCATGTACCCCACACAGGCAGTGACAGAAGTGTATTTAAAAAGGTGCTTACGACTTAAAATGATTGTCTGATGAACACAAAGTAAAAACAGGATTGCATCTTGTCTGCGTGGCGGCTGCTTCACCGCCATCATCATCATCATCATCACTTGGACTAAAAACGGAGATGGGAAAAAAGCGACGAAGACACCAAGACGATCTGTTTTTATCCCCTCTGATCGACGTTCCGGATGGAAAATCTTGCATTCAGGTTATTTTCCCTGATTACAAAATAAAAAAATAACAATAATAAAAAAAAAAAAACCATGCAAGTAGTCTAGTAGTAGTTGGTGTGGTGGCTGTGGTGGTGTGGGGGTATGAAGAGGAAGGGGAGGCGTGGGTCCTCTGAAAGCGCTTTCTAATAAAAAAACGACGTGCTTTTATCTCTTTTTTATTTTAATATTTATAGCAATCGGTCCTTTTTTCATCCGCAATATTTCATGTCTCTTTTTCCTCTCAGGTCCATTTCCCTGTAAATATTTCTCTTTTGTTTGTTTTTGTGTGTGTGGGTTTTTTCCTCCGTATCATACATCGCACTCCGAGTCGCTGGATGTGACGGACAGGATGGACGTCCCAGTATCAACTCTCTCTGCCATACTGGAAACGCTGGTGGTGGGACTGGCCGCGGTCGAAGGCGACTCTGCCGAGCTGTGTGGGGTGAGGCCGGCCTCTGAGAGGGACCTCATACCGGTCGGTCCTATTGCTTGGTGCTGAAGCCTGGAGAAGAAAAGGAGCGAGGAGGGCAAGGG